TTTCGTTTTCCGTTCGTTTTCGCCCGGTTTTCGTTTTCCGATTTTTCCCCGTTTTTTGCGTTCCGTTTTTCGTTTTCGAAGACGAAAAGAAGAAGACGAAAAGACGAAAAGACGAAGACGAAAAACCGATGACGAAAAGACGAAGACGATAAGACGAAGACAGAAAGAGGAAGACCAAGACGAAGACGAAAAACGAAAAACGACAATGACAACGACAACGACAACGACAACGACAACGACAACGACAACGACAACGAAAACGACAACGACGACAACGAAAACGACAACGAAAACTCAAAAGAAAGAGACGAAGACGAAGGCGAAAAGACCAAGGCGAAAAGACGAAAACGAATAGACGAAGACGAAAAGACGAAGACGAAGACGAAAAGACGAAGACGAAGACGAAAAGACGAAGACTAAAAGACGAAGACGAAAAGACGAAGACGAAAAGACGAAGACGAAAAGACGAAGACAAAGACGAAGACGAAAAGACGAAGACGAAAAGACGAAGACGTAAAGACGAAGACGAAAAACGAAGACGAAAAAACGAAGACGGAATGACGAACTTGTAAAGACTAAGCAAAGAAAGAATGACGAATAAGCGAGGACAAAATGACGAAGACATTTGTTGGAAGACGAAAAGACGAAGACGAGGTCCATAGGACAAAGAGTATGAAATGAAGACGAAAAGACGGAGATGAGAAGACGAATACGAATCGATGAAGACTTGCCTATTATTTCCAAAATACGAAGATACATTATGTAGACAAAACGAGAATTCGCAAAAAGAAGGTATATGGGCGGAGACGGATCGAAGGTTTTCTCAAAGGATTTAACAGAAATATAGATATATTTTTTTTAGTCATACATCAGTTTTAGGGATATGGTAGATATCTTTGACCAAACAGCGAACTCGAAACTACGAAGACCAAAGGACGAAAAGGAATCCGTGAATCGAATCGACTAATCCCAACCACGAGGACAAATCGCCAGATACTAAACGACCAAGACGATGCAATAATGAAGAAACGATGAAGTTGACCATTTGTAAACAATTGGTAGGAGAACGAAGATATACGAGTCAAAACACAAAAGGATGATGAAACAATGAAATTGAAACGACTCTTGCGAATCAACAATGTGATGTGGAAAACGTAATTAAGAAGACGTATCTTTGATGACTTGGAAACGAAGAACACGAAAGGACGAATCTGTATTGATACGAAGGTGAAAACACGAAGAAGAATGGTTCTTTTCACAAAATGGTAAAAACTAGCCGTTGAAGACCAAACAAAAGAATCACGGAGACGAAACTTTAGGTTTAGATTTAGATTTATTTTGTCTAAACAGTAAAAACTTTATGTGACGTATGGGGGAGAAGATAATCTGTGCACGTTGACTTTGAAATCGAACAAAAGTACATAACGAAGATGTAACACTGAAGATGAAACGAAAAACAGAATTAGTGAAAACGAAATGGCAAAGACAAAAGTGACAAAACGACGATCGTTTGCTTTTCACGGCGAAAAAGATGAATGCAGGACGAAGCGACACATGCGAAAAAATTAAACTGTGAAGACGAAGAAAAAGTAGAGTAAAGGCTTAATGTAACAGACGGACGATTAAATCGTAACTGCGTATATGTAGAGTCGTATTCGAAAAGTCAAATCATATTGTTAAACCAACTAAAAAGATAAAGGATTAAAATGAAGTGATGAGGTCGAAAAGAAAACGTCGAAAACGAAACGACGAAAACATAACGATGAAAACAGAACGTTGTCGAGCAAGTGAGAAAAACAAAAGAAAATAGTGAAATGAATCAGGAGGAAGACGAAAACGTGAGGGAAAATGATAACAAATGCGAAATGAACACGCCGCGACGATAAGGGAACGATGAAGAAATGACGTAATCAAAACAATGACGATGTAACAAGTTCGAATCGACTAAGCCGTCATAGCCGAGAAGGACGAAGAACAAGTGACAAACACTACGTAATCAGATCTGGAATAACGAATTTACTTGTGTATGTGTGCGTGTGTGTAACGCGAATTGGCAAGCCATGCATGACTTTCACCTACACTTTCCATTGCACAGTTACATTTATCCCATGCCAAGTATATGAGACTCCTTATGAGGGGATCCAATTTTTATCCCCCAGGTTTGCTGGTCCTGGGGGTATGGGATTGGAATGATGGTGGTAATGAAAGGTGAATGGACCACATAAACATACACTCATACACAAACACAACCTTCCCGAGACGAGACTCGAACGCGCGACTCCGTCACGGCGCTGCTTTTTTAGCGATCTCGGTCATCCGGATCGTCAATAATCCATTTATTATTATTATTATTATTATTATTATTATTATTATTATTATTATTATTATTATTATTATTGGCGTACAGGCCATTTTCTGACCATGCTACACGATGAATGTGTGTAAATTTTCCAGGATCAGCTTTTCAGCTGTATCCCTCAGTACAAGGTTGTTACGCTTTGAAGTTTATTTTATTGAATTAATTTATTTAATTATTTATTCATTTACGTCAAAAACAGTTGAAAACTGTGTGTGACTTGCTATGAGAAGAAGTTAAATTGAAATTACATTTATGTTCAGAAGCAAAACAAGGGACCATCTCAGCTTTTGCTCAAGGATCATAGAAACTGGGCGAAAGCCTGATGGAGATGGGAGTGATAATGTGTGAATTATGAAGTGCGGAGTGTGAATTATGAGAGGATTGGATGATGATGAGGGGTGAAGGGACAATAAGACCATGTCTATGCAGGACTCGAACCTTCAACCTCCTGCGGTGCAGACGCTGCCGAAACCGCAACGCTTTCGCAAATTTTGTTATTATTAACCACTTTCGGTAATTTTTGAACTGTATGATTAATTTACAGAACAGATTATACCAGGAGTCATTTTGGACAAACTATAGCAACAGACTGAAAAAGTAGAAGACATAAATCCCGGCATTAAATTTATTTGTGATGTAAGTGAAGTATGAACTGGAATATTTGACAAGGAACCGCAGAGGCGTTCTCATGCTGAACTGGAGTAATTTAAATTCCGCCTTTAAATTTTTGTGAAGTGGAACGTACGTTTTCTAGTTTCAAATCATTCTAACCGACAAAAGAAAATTATATCAGTAGAAAATATTGAAAAACAATTGGTTGTTTATTTTCACAACAATGCGTGTAAGTACAATAAATATACTGTAAGTGAAATAATTTAATTTATGTTTGAAGTCGTTTATTGATGATGCATCCTCATTTCTTGGGCATATTGTCAGTTTTTGGTGTATATTGTCAATTTTTTGTGCATATTGTTAGGTTTTTTAAGTGCATAAATGCAAGCACATTTTGACGATTTTAAGTGCATATATATCCGCCCTCTGTTTAGAGGTGCTGGAATGGTAACACACTTTATCGAAAAAGTGTTTCAATTCTCTTCAAGCTCATGGGCTAGCTTTGGGGTTTTGCCTCACAAACTTCAAGCTGCCATCCATCGCCCCGAAAAGACGAGTTGACATCTACGGCCTCACTGTACTTACCAATCTCCTGGGTTCAATCTCATCCCCACCCGCTCCCACAGCCTCATGATTTATAATTATAAAAAATTCTTGTTATAATACCCGATATTTCCGCTTGAAAAAAATGTTGAAAGATTGAAAGATTAAGAATACTACACAAATTAAGGAAAGAAAAAATTATGAATACAATTACACATTTTCTAAATTTTTTTACATCTTTTGCACATGAAATCACTTGCTATTGTGTTCTCTATTCAGTACCTCCTATGACATAATGAACTGTTAAGATATATAGTCATACTGGATATCAGTCAACATTAATATTTCTATTATTCTTATTGGCACTATTAATTATAGATTCAATTTTTTATTATTTACTTTAATTTTTTTATTATTCATTTTGTTACATTGTTGAATATCTAATACCCAATTCTGACTTATATATTATTGTCCTTTACTCAATAAATGTTGTTGATGTTACTATCATTATCCATATTTTGAATAGAAAAGTATTTTTTTAAATTATGGCTACTAAAAAATCATATTTATGTAATTCACATGATTTATTCTTCATTTTATTAACATATTTCTACATTTCATTACAACTTTCATTAGCTGATGCTATTTTTGTACATTAATATCTTATATTAAAAAAACCCTCATTACATTTTATACATAATACAACAATATGATTTATAATTCTTTAACTCAAGGTTACGAGCTCAACCCCTTCTGCTCTTCAAGTAGTTTAAAAATTGCTATTATGTCATTCTGCACAGCAAAATTTTGAAGTTCACAAAAAGTAATGTAGGGCAGAAAGTGTATATGCTGATATTTTCATAAAAACCTTGCGCAATTGTTTAGTGTTTGGCTAATTCATCAACAGACACGTTACACAGTAACAAAATTTTTAATTTTATTCCATCAAGGTAACATTTCATATTGCACTCAAAGTAAGATATCCATCTTTCACTGACTTCTCTTACATTCATTTAAAATTATCTTTCTGAATTGATCTCACTCATCATGTATGGAAATATGTTGATTATATCCATATACATCACTCAACTCACAGTAAATTGACCTGAGGTGATCCTTACTACCTACCTAACATTGAATTCTTATATTACATAAATACTAATATATTTTTCTAAAAACACAATGAATTGCACAAGTATTTCTAGGAAATGGAAGTGAAAGATACAAGTCATGATTTCATGAATTGTGGGAGGTTATTGGTACACAGGTCACAAAAGCTACATCTTTCACAATAATTAAGTCCTGCTCTTACTGCAGAACTGAAACAAACATAACCACCATATGTGACAGCATTTTCTCCATAATCCCCTAAAATTACTAACCATATAAGTTGAGAAACATCTCAAATACCTGAGTCTTTTAAGAGAAGATATTTTTACTGAAACAGAAAAACAAGGTTTTAATTTCACATCCTTGTGCAAAACTATGTCTCCATTCTCTCACTTCCATTATACAACTTTCTGCTCTTAGCCTGATATAAAAGCAATTTAATAATTTTTTTAAAATACTAATCCATTGTGCTTACTCAGACAAATATACAAGGTGCCCTAACATATCCAAGGATAAATGGGAAATGTAAATGAATGTTTTATTTCCTCAATCACAAGGCCTTCCATTCTTTGAGCATAATTTCTGGAAGTAATTTCGAATTTCACCAGCTATTTATCATTTAAACTTAACTCCATTTACTGGAATTTCTTGTAAAAGCAATTTAGAAAAGTAATTGATTAAACATTACAAAACAATACTTGGAAATCAAATATTTGAAGTTAATTGTGGGTAATTTCCAACTTTTATTTTTCTGCATTAAATTAAGTCAAGCAACAATGTACATGAAAAAATTACTTTTTGACATGTCAAATGTTGCAAATTTTCAGCTAACAAAACTATAATCCCTTTAATAATTCAACCCCTGAAGGCTTTCCTCTTGTTCATAATTTCATAATTATTTTATTAAGATCAAGATTATTCCAGCGTTAATTTTGTACTTCATAGTTATTTTTTTCACTTATTTAAGGGAAGGTTGACAGTAAGTGATTTGAACTGTATTATTTACTTTGCAATTTTTACCATTGAACATCCATTAATGTTGTACATTCTAAAATTATATATGCTTTGATAACTTCCCTATGTCATATACCATGAAGTTCATTGCGACCTCTGTGACACCTTGCATACTTACACACCTTGGTTCATACTAACTTCTCACTCTTAAGAATCCAAAAACTTGGATCTTATGAGAAAAATGATGAACTTGTAACATTTCTGCTAAATAACAAATAAAGACTCAAACAATTGGACAACCATTATGACAGAAAAGGAATTTTTACATAGGAACAACAATACACATTATTGAAATGGTAAAACAAATACGTTCTTTTAAATACATTAATTTGAGTATGCATAGTCAGAAGTATAACATTAAATAATAACACTTAAATGTAACATTCAACACGGTATCTTATTTTTCATGTTATGGTACACTGTGCATGATTTACTAAATTTACTTTTCAGAAAACAAGTATCAGCTGTTAGAATTAAATATAAAACATAATACTGTTTCCTCAGACTTTTACAGTAACTTGTACTGAGATGTCACCTTAAAATTACTGTAATCTAACTTTGACTAGAGAAAAGTTGTAGAAAATAGACGAAATTGTAGTCATATCTGATAATTCTTATTAAATATATATATTCAAGGATGAATATGGCCAATTATTAAGTTCAACAAAAATATGTTTCTCAATAATATGACACTCTCTCACTGAAATAAATATTTGTATTATTGATATTTGTGACTATAATAACAATATTTCATTATTTATTTAACTTGAATATGCTTATTAAGTTTCAAGATTTATTACTAATAACCAGAAATCTCATTTACCTTTCAATGTGCTACATCTATTCTACCAGGGTCTCATCAAAAAGACGATAATTTTCTATCATTTTTGTTTCAAAACTTATCAACCCACAACAAGAATACATTTGGTGTAGCAAAGGAATTTGTTAAGCAACAATGTACATGAAAAAATTACTTGTTTGCGCTTTCTTCAGAAATCTTTCTTTCAGATCCCACACATCAAAAAATCTTTATAGTCCCAAATAAATGACATTATACATCACTAATTATTTTCCCGAAGTTTTGAGTACATGTACTGCAATGTGGTTTCCAAACAAAGGGAAATACAGAAAATATTGCAAGGAAGAGAAGAATTATGACCAGTCCTAATAATGAATAATCAGAGTTAGTTCTTTGAACACTTAGCGGATTGTTTGAGACATATGTAACGGAGTGAGCATTAATTCAAATGCAGCATCCTTCAAATTGGCTCCTCGTAAATTAGCTTCATGGAGATCACTTCCTGATAAATCACAATTCTGTAAAAGAAGAAACTTCAGTTAACAATAGGTAGAGGAATGGGCTCCAAACACCACACATAAAGGAATGATGCCAGTGCATCCACATTCTCACACCCATATCTAACTACTTAGGACCAAAGAGACACTTCGCAAATCAAATAAACATCATATTTATCTTCAGAGAAAAACCCCTCCTCCATGACAGCGGTTCAGTCATGCCTCTACGTAAAACATTTACATTAAAAAAGGTCTCCCACAAAGATATCATTGGTGCTCATGAATCATGAGATGAACATACAAATGTTGCAACCAAGACTCGGTTTTAAAATATATGCAACACTTACCACACAAATAATGTGTAATATGAATGGGTGAAAATCAGAATAGTATAAGTGACATTTTATAAAATCAGAGAAATCTGTTTATTTAAGTGAATATTACTGTAAAGTCATGGAGCTTTGATTCATCATTAAAACCACAGCATTTCAACTGTTCATTAAAACCACGAAAATACATTGCCACTGAAATATAGCCTAAAATACATGTTTTTCACAGAATTTATAAAATGTCACTTGTACCGTTCTGGTTTTCACCCAATCATGTAATGTTTCTTAAATTTTTTTTTTTGGAAAAGTTAATAGTAAGGCACATTCCAAGTAATTGCAAGTGGCACTCTTATATTTTCATGGGAGATTGCTTGAAGTTCTCAAAGCAAATATACACAAGAGATCCAATTGCAACTCATATGAAGGAAGGAGTGCCAATTGACATAATTGAGTACATGGACAGAACTTCCGTTATGTTGCTAGCAGGAGCTGTCACTCCGGTGCCTGGTCTTTAGCCTAAGGGATAACTTCAATATATTTTGAAGCATACTTTATTTAGAAATGATAGTAATTTGAAGACGTGAATGCTAATATATAATAAAATAAAGTACCTCTAAATCAGCTCCAGCCAGTACTGCAGCTCGAAGGTCACAGTTTTGAAGATTGGCATTTTTGAGAGTTGCAACTCGCAAGTTAACACCAGCCATATTACTTCCTTCCAAATTGGCACCTTTCAAGTTCACACCTAGGGGAAAAAACAGAGTTGCATTTGATCAAAAAATAAAATATGGGAAGGTCTACCATAAATGTTAGACATATACATGTCCAACAAAATAGGAAATACTGAAATAGGATTATACATAAATATGATAAACCCAATAAAACAAAAACTGAAACATAATAACTAATAAAATTTGCCTCTGAATATTCAAACTCGTATTTTTAAAAATATTCAAACTCAACACTATTTACTCAAAATAATTAATGTATTTCATAGGCATTGAAAATTTCTCATAAATTCTAATGGAAATTTCCAATGCCTGAGAAGGAGTTTATCTGGACATTTTCAGTGGTATTTAACAAGACTATTTCACAAATGAAATAATTTTCTACAGAGTTTCAGGATATGTCAAATATTAATTACATTCATTTGTTTCATTTTTCTTTAATATCAGGTTAATCCATCACTAGCATTCATCATTTGCTAGTTCAACCCTAGCCGGGGGGGGGGGGATGCCACCACCCCAAAAACCCCAAAATGCCTAAAGTTTTTGTTTACTATTCTTTTTGTAATTGGAACATAAATAAATATTTAAATCAATTTTGCCAAATAATTATTTAAACAATAATATTGTATAGTGTACCTACAGTTCATATATGATATACAATATTACATCAAATATATTTAATATCTAACAAAAACTTCGATCCTCTTCCCCCCTTCCCTCCACCAAATGATCAACTGAATCCGCTCCTGACTGTTCACTAATTCATATTACTAATATATTACAGCTCATGATTGGACAGAAACTATCCCTCACTTTATTTGTGTAACCAATTTAATGGTAATTATAAAAAATTTCTTTAAAAAGAAAAATCCCTACAGGGTGTTTGCTATTTGGTTGGTGTATCTTATAATCCATAAATTTGCTTCCACCATGTAATGAAATTTTTTAATTAAAGAAAGAACTTGAGTTTTGTTATTACAAGTTTACACTTTCAGGGCTTCACTAAAATATTGGTTTGACACATGACAGAATTTTTTATTAATACATGCATTTTTTCTCAATTTTTAAAGTTGTGAAAAATGTACAGACCTAATATACTATTACACTTCAGGAAGTCAAGAATATACTGTCTTCCCCAGCAAATGAAATATCTAAAGTTTTTAAATTCTCAACACATGTTTACACTGTTCCACATTTGAAGGTATACATCTTTTTGGTGAATCTGACCTTCCATATTTGCTCGACTTCCAGCAGGATCTTCAAAATTACATCCTCGCAGATTGGCTCCTTCCAAATTGGCACACAACATTTTCACACCAAGTAACTGCGCTCCTTCTAACTGTGCATGGGACAGATCTGCACGTTCTAGGCAACACCAGCTTAAGTTGGCCCCAACCATTCGACAACCATGCAAACAAGCATACTGCAAGAAACATCAGCTTTAAAAACAAGAATAAGCTTTTAATATCATTATGTGCCCTTCATAAAGGATAAAATAATATTAAATGATTAAGGCATTATAATTCACAAATCTACACAATTCTTATTTAATGAACATGAATCATGAATGGACACAAGCTTACCTTAAAATTTATATAGCGTAGATCAAGTCTAGATAAATCAGATCCAGCTAGATTGACCCCTTGAAATCTCAGCTCTGCAGTGTATGGAGTGAGGATCAGAGCATTCACAACATCCCTTCTGGTTAATGGTACGTTATCTCTTGATCGCTGGCTTGACTGAATAAGAGCTTCCAGCTGTGGAACTAATGATTCTATACCAAAGAACCTTGCTTCTTCAAGAACACCTAAAAGCCCATTAATTAAGAATTTCATGGATTAATGATAAATGATAACCTAAATAATCTAAAATATCATAACACACACCTTCTGGATTTACATTGTTGTCAAAAATAAGTTGCCCATTTCGAAGATAATTGAGAAGTGGTTCAAAATAAGTAGGGCTACGATCAATTAGGTAGGCACCATTCTTATCCACATTGCTTGGTGTCATTAGAAAACCATTTTCACCTTCTGCAAACATTCTGGAAGAGAAATGTAGCAATAACAATGTTGCAATGCAATAAATGATTGGTTAATTTCTCAAAATGTTGCAAGACGAACTCTCTATTACAGCTATCCGAGTAGGTGATACTAAATAACTTCACACATTCATAGTATAACATTACTGGAAACTTCAATTACACATGGCCAAAACATATAACATAATTAACTCAAGCAAATAAAACACTAGTAGTCTAAGAAAAAGTAAGGTTTATAAAAATTGCACAAGCAAAGAAAAGAATGTACTTATAGAATAAATTATAATTCAATATTTGGAATCACGTACATAACAACAGCAAAGTCAAAGGCTACACATGTCCACTGACTGGAAAAAATATTCAACTTGTTTTTCACTAAAAATACGTTTACTAAGCTCAAAAGACAGCTGACAGACTTAAAATTTTGTAACAGAGATTTATCACCATCAATTAATACTCATACAAATCAATTAATCTTCAATCTTATTTGAAAATACAAACCAGATTTTTCAGCAGACTGAATTTTTGATATGTCACAATTATAAATAAGCACTGGTTAAATCTTTGCAGACAATTGTTAACATATTATACATTTTAAATCAACATTCCTTAACATGATTTTATAATTAATTGAATTCTCAAAAATAAGTATATTGTAAATTAGGTACCTTGTTATTTAGTATTGTAAAACATTAACATCCAGTATTAGTTAAGTTCTTAAAAATGGTGTTTTATTTCTTTAAGAACAATTTATCCTGTAATGATAATACAGGGTTTTTGAAACTTTACTTTCAGTCAGTTTACTAAATTTTATCAAATGATTAACGTTATGAGAAATGTCTAAATAGTGCTATTATATGGGAGTATTATCATTACTTACCGTGATAACATACTCATAGGTTCTTTGGTAGTTAAAGTGCTACGAGACGTTGTAAAATATTTCCCTCCTACATTTAAGGTAACCCATTCTGAATTTAATTTGTTGCAGGTCTGAACTTTATTTGAAGTAGCAGCTGGTGCAGTATTAGAGCTTATGGAGGACTGCGTTGATGCCAGAGGAATAAAGTTTTCCCCAGCTGATACATACAAAATATCATCATCTCTGGAACAAATTAGAATTACTTAATGCACATTTTTGTCTTCTCGGTTATAACTTGCACTTGCATAAAATTATCAACCCTCGAGCAAAATAATAAAAATAACAAACAGAATATTAAAAATTGCTTCAATGGAACTCATTCAGGTAATGGTTCAACTCAGGTAATTAATCACCAGAGTTCAAATTTGACACAGGGTATCACGAAAAATTAAAAAATACAATGGTAGTAACAGATTAGCATGAATCTCATATTTAGAAAATCCAGAAAAATAAATACATTACAAAGGTTTCATATTTCAGTAATAAAGCTACAATTCTCACCTAATTAGTTTTAAATCGTCAATTTCTCCTCCCTTGGCCGTAAAGAGACGTTTTGCAACAATGCTGAATTTCGAACTCGCAGACGTCAGCAAGTCCTCCAAAGAATGAGTCACTAATAAAACCTTAAACAATAAGCACATTTACACAATCCATCACGCGGCATAAGTTGTTTATTCAAAATTTTAAAATGCGCATGCCAAATTTTAATTAAATTTTACAACGTACTTTCCCATCAACCTCAGTTCCATTTTTAAACAAGATTACTCTCTTCATTATCTTATTTCTAAAATGATAAACAGCGTTCTACAACTGTATATGTCGTCTTAAACAACAGCTTTTTCGTGAATTTTTGAAGTTTTAATTACTCCCGAATGCCATAACAGCTGCGAAAGCGTAAGTTCAAGCCAGTTTCAAGCAACTCGGCTGCAAACAACACCAGAGAGCATGAAAGTATGAAAACACAACTCGGGCACAGGGAAGCATCAACCTGGGTGCGACGTCCGATGGACCACGTTTGTTTGTACAGCCCTCCCAGTATGGATGTTCTTTGGATGTAAGCAATAGGATGGGGACATTTGTCCAATCAGAGACCTTGAGCACTTTTGAATTTACATTTAGGTTAAATTTATTGTATTTATTTTTGATGACTTCCTATGAGATAAGTGATATGAAAATATATTTAATATATCTTTTTTCTTTATTTAACGCCAAAAAGAGTTAAAAACAGTGACGTATGAGGCACTTTTCTCTTGGGATTTTAGCTGTAGATAATAATAATGTATCAGAATGCGCCAAGAAGTAAAAATAATACTTACGCCATGCTATATACTTAATAAAGATTTTTAGCAATGAAGTAGCGAGGAGAGAATTATTTTCTAAATAGTTCAAGCAAAAATAATCTTGAATTGTAATTGAGACGTTTCATATAATGTAAAGTGTATCAAATACTGTGATATACTACTTTTGTTCCAAAATAAATATAAACTAGTGGTCTGCAGCAAAAAAAGTATTGCTGAATAAAACCACGCACTAAGGTACACACGCAACAAGTAGCCCACACACTGTTCAAGGACAACTAATAAAATACTTTCAGATAACACTATTATAAATTTAAAATTTTAACAAAAAGTCATCACGAATACTTCAATAATATAGTGTTATAAACTAAATACTGGATAATAGTTTTTTCAGACCAAGAATATAAAAAAAAGTTGCTGTTTCAAAACACAACACGTGAATGGCAGGTATTTAATGGGGGTCTCTTCCTTGGAGCCTTCCAGTGACCTGTGCTGGGTCATATTCAATGACGCATTGAGAATGAAAATTCAATCCACACACGCAATATGAGAATATGTGGAACAACGCAATAAAAAATTTTCGTTTTTCAGACGAAATTGAAATTGCTTCATTGTTGTTGTTTTTTTTATTTTCTCAAGTTCCTGGAAATGTAGACACCTTACAGAAGGCCGGAGGTTGCATAGGTTATTCTTTTATACACGCTTTGGAAATAGGAAATATCTATACGAGATGATAAAATTATACCTTCAGCTTAAATACTCCACTCAGTAAGGGGAGTTGGATTAATCCATGATTACAGTTTTAGAAATCAATAAGTTTTCTGTAGTCATAGTACAAACGTTTGTTAGATTTCATGGACATGAAGAAATCCAACAGTTTACAAATGCCAACTCTGTGGGACCCAGGCCTCCCTTCCATATCCCAATAAAATTTCAGCTAAATAATTAAGTAAAAAAATAACTTTATAAATGAAACGTTTTGATAATAGTGCTAATTCGATGGTAAATCAGGTAGATTATAATGATATACGGCTGTCGCGAAACTACTATGATGAAAAACATCGGATTCTGTGTTCAATTTCATAAAGAAAGATCAAGTTTTTCGAAAGAAAAATTCTTCGAGAAATTAGAGTTTAACACTCCGTCTCTTTCATCTTTGGATGATTAAGAAGTTTCTTTTATAATTAAAGAAATGTTATCCGTTCACGAATAAAAATATTCCCCTATTGATATCTGAGAAGGGTGTCGATAAACTTCTTTTCTCTGGTTTTCAGTTATGCACTATGTCAATTCAATTATGCACAGAATCCAAAAGTGTTAGTACTGGCGTATGGAACAGTGTTATTGCATATTTAATAAAAATTATTTTTTTCTGTAATATGAGAGAGTTTAATATTTCAAATATTGTGTTAACCAGTGTTTATGCGTTTATCTTCATTTCTGTGCAAAAAATGTAAATATTAGAAGACAGAATACTAAGTAATGGGTGCATTAGACTAGCTAGTATTCAAGGTTTTTTAATTATTTATATTTCTTTCTACAGAATATTCATTTATCATATACGCACAAATAAGAAAAATATATTAATGATGTTAATGTATAGAAAGAAAACTATATAATGGGTGCGTTGGATGGAGTCCAACGCGAGAGTACTCGTGCTACGAATGGCCGTGTGAGTGACTGAATGTTAAAGGTCATTTCGGGCGCAAATTTCTAATTGGAATGCGTCTCCGAAAACACTTCAGCGTCCCCGACGAACGGTGCGACGATGGGCTCGTTTCTCCGTTGGTGTACTCGCCGGACAATGAACGGCGCGGGCCAGCATTTACTGTAGCCATAGAGAAGAGATACAACTCTATATATCTCTATCTATATATCTCTACTCTATGCGTGTAGCGTGTGAAGGCTCATTCACAATGCAATCGCAAACATAAGCATAGCGCATAGACATTAACATTAACATAAAGCGAAAGACTGAAGTATTCACAATGCCTAACATAAACGTAAGAAAAATAAGTTTTTATTGGCTGTGAGACTTTCTGGTTGGATGTGAGAATCGATTTCAACATATCGACTATGTCTATGTCCCATATGGCGTGTTCTTCTATCGACTTCTCTCCAATTTCGATTCTCGATTTTGAGTTACCGTTTTGTGATTGGTTAATTTCTTATGTCTTACGTAAGCATAAGCACAGAAGCTTGAAGCTTGCAAGCTTTTAAGTTAATGTCTTACGTGTTATGCTTATGAGAACGCATTGTGAACGAGTCCGCTTACGGACGTAGTCCTAAGTTTTATGTTAACGCCATGTTTATGTTTATGTTTGCATTGTGAATGAGCCTTGAAGGCGGCCCAACACATTCGTCGACGCGTAGCGAGCAACAGCTCACCGAATCCCAAGTACTGTGGATGACTTGCTTGCTATCTTCTAAGTGACGAATATTCGGTGCTCACCCTACCCACTTCTTGTCAGGCTTGTGAGTGAAGTTAGATATTCGTGTACAGTGACCCTTGGCAGAGTTTTGTTTCCTCCCCCTTCGGCTATGAAACATTCACCACACAAGCGCACATGGCAACGGCATGGCTTCTTCCCTGGGACACGGACTTTTAGATAGGGACCACCCAGAGAGGCTGCGAACTTTTTTATGAGTCTTTGGCTGCTGCCAACAGCTCCTCCTCGCCTGGACCATGGAGGAATACAAATAAACTAGCGTACCCGTGCGAGAACTCTCGCATGATACACCCCGCCCTCTTCCCTATCCTTCCATTTTCATATTAAGATGGAAAGTTGTTAACGAAACTTGTTTATTTGTTTAAAAATGTATAAAGATATCTTCCAATGTAGTTAAAGAATATCAAATAAAAAAAGAATTCAATTGATGTTGGAAACAAATTTGCAATATAGGTTTATTCAGTAATTGACATGTTCTTGGAACAATTCACAAAACTTCCTTAAAACAATATACAATCTTCCTTGGCAGTTAGCTTTTCGCTTTCCTTGACAGTCACAAAAATATTACAAAAGCTTTATAGCCTTGAGAAAGCCACGGGAAGTTGTCTATGCGAAAATACAGAATTGGGCAAGTACAACCCTACTCTGCAAAGAATAAATACTACTCAAGCAATAAATAGAACGATTTCAGAAGTTTCAAATTGGTTTTGTAATAACAAATTAATGTTAACGAAGGAAACACTGTTAAGGTACCAAAATTTCTAGTTGTCTCAATTCAGTCAAACTTAAAATGGAATGTGCATATAACAGAATGAAACACTAAATTAAGTTCATTATGTTACGCATTCAGAATTATTTAAAATTCTGTCAGTCTTTATGCAGCTCGTTGCGTGTATTTTGCAAGTCAACATTCTCGCCTGTGATATGGTATAATATTCTCGGGAAGCTCACCGTGTAGTACCCAGACCTTAAGATTGGGAAAGAAAATTATTGGAATATATAAAAATTCCATCCACGTAATCCCTATAAGCTTCTATTAATTAAGATTGGAATCTTACCATTGCCTTGCCTATTTATTTACGAATCAGTAATATTTGTCAAAACTGACTTACTTAACGATGGGAACATATTTCCATGGAATACTGATATTTATAATTACATCATACGTCGTAGAAATCACGTTCATCAAGGGTCAGTAGATACAAGAAATCCACATACAATACATGTACGTTACTTTACAAATATTGGCAGATGTCATTAAACAGAGTAAAAAATTCTCTACTGCATAACTGTTTCTATGCAGACCCTATACTGATCATCAAAATGAAAAATAAGGTTTATTTGAACAAAACAGTGATATGTAATGAATTAGTTTACATTTGTTTTGTATATTTTTTAAAGATTTAATATGCTTGTAACAAATAATGTACTTCAGCTTCCTGGTCAATGACCTCCATCTCGATCAAGTTTTTGTGCAGTTTTCCTGATCCATTGAGCAAATGCTGAGATGGTCCCTGGTTTTTCTTCTAGACATAAATATAACTTCACTATGCGCACGTTTTGTTGAAGTCTCCTTTTGCTTGTAGTGATAGGAGTAAACCTGAGAGTGAGTTACTACTTGTTTAAAAGGAACTCTGTGTAATTAAAAATGATGGGAAGGGATTCTGGAAGTCAAGAAAACGTGCACAGATGATATTCTCCCCACACGGTTTTCATTGTTGTTGTTTTTTTTTCTAAATAAATCTAAAAAATCTAAATCTAAAGATTGGTTGCGCGTAAAAGCCGCGAAACTCATCTATACTACTGTACCTTGTAAGAAACAATTCCTTCGTGGTCTGGGCTCTGACTTCCGCGTCCTCAGCCTCCTGGACTTCTTTTTGTATCTTTTCTTCTCTGCATTACGACCTCGCCACCGGCGGGCATACTGTATCTTTTATGAATCGTGTTCAGGGGCGGATCCAGAGAAGAATTAATTTTTGTTGAGGGGGAATTTCTATATGTGTGTGTGTGTTTGTATATATATATATATATATATATATATATATACAAAGATAATATAAAATATAAATTAAAAACATGATCATAAAATGCTTTTAACTAAATTAAAAATATTAAGCTCAATATTTAATGAATAATGGTTTTGAATTAAAAATAGTAATAATTTGTTATTAAAATGGCTGAAATCAGAGCTACAAAACGACGAAGGATTAGGATATTATATTTTTCATTCAATGATATAGATAGAATTTAAATAAAAACGCATGCTATCGATTTACAAATTAAACATTCGCTTATAAACACTATTGTCTAGGACAGAAGAAAGTCAGAGGAAAGACGGACTTCACAAAATATGACTCAAGCCTCTTCTACTTTTGCTTTTTATTAGAGTTCTTTCTCTTTTCTTCTTATTGCTTTCAGATATTTTCTTTCTCCTCTTAAGTACGTATTACCGCACCGTCTCCAGGCGCACGTAAGCGATTCATGCCCGTTTCTTTTGTTTCTGGCGAACAGTAATTGCACGAAATATTGCAGCGGCCCACTAGGCACCTAGATAGAGACCTTACTCCGTCAAGACTGTTTTTAGTTGCGTCGGCCACACTCCAGGACATGGAAGTCGCCGTTGCACCGCTTGTCAAGCGGAGAAAGAGTTATGAGCTGTTACACGTCTCTGGAGAACAGCCGAAGACATTTTCGATACGTAACACTGGGCTGAAATACAGCGAGAATCAGTATTCCCGTTCGTATCTAAAGTACTAAGGACAAAACGCGCGGTTACTTTATCGATACATTTTAGACGTTTCTACCATTTTTTCTTGTGTTTCTCATTTTCATTTTTACAGCACTTTTACCATTGTAATTGTTTTCTATAGGCCTCTCTTGGCGAAGAGCGTGACCACCTCGATCCGGCACTGGGATTACATCAGTAACATATCGAACAGCTTGAGTCTGAACTTGCATCTGAACTTGTTTTGATAAAAACATTTACATAATTTTTCTTTGCTTTTTAGAAAAAAATAAGAGTACTTCTTTGATCATTTTTGGCGAGTTTTAGGTTATCAAAATTCGTTATTACATTTCCCCATCTTAGGGGTACCACATGAATGCCCGACTGTGAGTCGTGTGATCGATAAATTATTTTTTTTCAGTTTTTTATTCTAAATGTTGTGGTCGAATGTGTCATAATACAGATTATGTAGAATGACATAGGGTAAACTCAGTTCATGCTGCGATACGATTTTGTTAGTTTTAATGATTTTTCAAAAAAATATTTTTACTTTCTCGCTACGGAGTTGAGAGAAAGTTATGAAATGCGCGAAAAAACGGCGAATTTTCGGCCGGAAAATTTTTAATACCAAGCTCTGGTAACGACAGAGTGGATAAATCCAGAAAAACCTAACACGTGGTATAGCCCCAAGGGAGACGCGAATCCGTCGCAGCAATCACGCCACTCCCCCTGTTAATGTGCCGATGTCCCGAACCTACTTCCAATCGCACTTCTCACCCCCTCCCCCTGGGCCCTCCGGGATGCCCCGAAAGGGCGAGGATGGCGCTGCCTAAATGAAAATTCCCGGCTGCGATAGACAAGAATTATGACTTGTGTATGTAAATAGGTCCATCTGCGTCTTACTCAGTACTCGGCTACATTTTCGGAGTGACAGAGAGGGCACTAGAAAATGTTCCACTCTGGCACATTCGAGATGCCAGCAGTGATTGGCCAAGAAAACTTGAATGCGCAAATGGTTTTGACCATTGACAGGGCATAATCTAAAAGTCACGGAGAACAAGAGACTAAGAAGCGGTGAGCAGAGCAAGGAGATGCGACGCAATTGTCCAGATAAGCGGTTCGCGGAGGTGAGATGTGACACGCTTGCCTAGTAGAGCGGATCGCGGAGACAAAGATCGCGTTCGTGCGCAGTGTTTGTGTTGTCTTCGGAACTTTGTGATTTTTTTAACCGATTTGAAAATGGGCGCGATGAAGTCGGGTCACCAGGTGCGTGAGCCGTGATTAGGCACCCATGTGATATGTAATTTGATAGCCAGGACTGTTACCTTACACCACCATAAGCCAAATTCTCGTTTTTCACCAAAGGAAGTTCCGTGAATTATTCAAAACCTGCGGTCTCAATTAATGACTGATAGGTGAAGAGTTAAACAATGATTTTGGAGTGGATCTGGAATCGACCGCGCACCGCTGTCTGCGGTGATTGGCCGACATCGCTGGATCTCTGTGAAAAGGGCCCCGGCCTCGTAACCGTCAGGGAAGTCCGTGAAGCCCAGACTTGTCTCTCCCCCAGTGGTCAGGGTGACAGGTGATGGGTCTACAACCAACTCGGCTGCACTATCCGCCGCTCAAGAGTATGGTGAAGTCTTCCGGTATTAAACCGTGCAAAGGTGTACCAAACCGCTCTTCTAGCGACTTATGGAAACTAAACTCTTGGTAACTCCTGAATGAATAGGAAAATTTGATGACATGACTTGGCGTGGCCGCGCACCGGCCCTTTAATTTTCTTTAGACTTAAATTTAACAGCGTAATCATCAATTAATTTTTAATATTAACCCAGGTAATCTCATAGAAATTTAGTTTGGTAACTTCCAGTAATTACATTAAAACTATGTTTACATTCTAACTAAAGTGTTTTTTGTTAATTTTCAACAACGTTCCATTCCATTCCTCTGAAACACGGTATCCCGCAGGTGCAGAGTTAGCTGGCACCCACATGTACTGAACGGTCCATACCGGGCAGCAAATTATACTACGCAACTAATCTCTATATTTAGCTAACTATACCCCATATACCATCATATACTATATACTATATATCATCCATACCTACCACTACCTACCCTAATAATGTAGTGTCACGCAACAGCAGCAGCTTTTCTAGTGACGTAATCTACCCTTGTTGCACACATTAAGAATATACAAATGAAGGGAGCGGTGTACCAGCCGAATGCCTTTACCGTGCATTTATGATTCTCAACATCAAAATGTTACCTCAAAAGTAATGTCACGTGGTGTTCGTACTTTTCCTAAAAATCTTGGCGAAACTGCGATTGTTCAAACTCTGCCCCTGGAAGATATCAGTTGACGGGTTCATCGAATCGGGAGCTTCAACGTCACCACAGTGACGTTCGCACTCTCGATTGCATAATACTAAACAGCTGATACCTGCCCGGGACATGGTTAGAAAAATCGCTCTATAGGTATGTGCTGAAGCGAAGCTTTCTCATGAAAATTCTCTCATACGCCCTATTGCAACCATGGCAAGGTTCGTTCACCAACACATAGGAATGTCTACGCAATCGTCCTACGAAGACTTTTTTTGTTACGCTAAATGAGCAGCACGCACGATTCGGTAAAAAAAAAAATGCATTCTTTGCATTAAACAGGAACTAATTCGCAATTACTGATTATTCTTTACTTTTTTCTTTTTCTGTATTTGCGCTTTGCAGTTATCTTGACATATACGCCATTTTTCCAAGCCACCTAAATTAACATAATGCAAAATAAATAATCCCTTAATGAAAATAAAAATGTTTTGCCATGTTTATGGTCCCATTTTTATTCCCAATCGATATTACAAAGCACACACAGAAGATCCCCAGGTCGAATCCCTCATCCCCAGAAAGAGTTAGAAGCCCTTGTTTTTTAGTTCAGTGGAGGTAACAGAAAACTTGTAGTAATCTCTATAAACACAAGGCATTAATAATAAATATTTGAACATTTGTTAACAGCCGAGATGGCACAGGAATAGATCTGTTGCCACAGAACATTAAAAACAATCAAACAATACAATATCATTTGGTGATTAGTTACTCTTAAAATATCTCGCAAGTTAGAGCTAAATTTCAAGTTGGCACAAATACACATCCAAACCCAAATGCATCAACATAAAAATCACTTTACACAACTTGGGGACCCTCGAAACAATTTACACACTGAAATATCAACCATGATTTTTTCTCTGCTCTTTACATATAGCTAAGGAAAAGAAAGAAATGAAGAGAAAAGAAATATACTATTATTCATCCACCATACTATCATGTTCACTTCTGTACATCTCTGCCACCTACTAGCATTTATGGCTTATGCGAAGTTCACCATCACAATAAATCACATGCCATCCAAAATCATATGAAGGATTTGGAAAAATGCCTGTTCAAATTTACATACAAGCAAAATGTTGTGTGTTCTGTCCTTTCCAACTCTATACCATTGTAGACATACCAATTACATGCTGTGGATTCTATTTTTTTTCTACTGTTGTGAGAATCAATTTACTTGCATGAAAAATTAGTTCAGCATGAAAGAAAAGGTAGTCAGTCCTACAAGAATAATTACTTCCACATTAAACATAATCTGAAAGTGAAATTATAAGAAATTCCATAATGTGCTTAATCTTTCTTAGGATAATTATCCTAAATTTAGAACTTCCTGATCTGATCTAAATGAGAGCATTTCTTTTTCCAACAGATTCTTTAGCAATGAATGGATACAGGAATGTCATTTTATGAATAAACATTTCATAAATCAATAATAAATTTTGAGAAAAAGTCTAGGAATGTTCTCACAGAGAAAATAATCTTTTCACTATAGTTCTAAGAAGCTGGGCTAATAAAGCTGACTCAAAAGGAAAGACTTGTGACAAATGATACATTATTTATTTGAATATCATTTGTGAATTAAGCACAAAAAAGGTCAAGAAAAAGGGAAAGGTTTCAAATCATTATTATATAATTGTTAAAGAAGTCTAAAGAAAAAACTTACCAAAAACCATACACTGATTTTATTGTAGTAACTAAATAGATCCCACACAAGTGCAATATGTGGCCAACGAAAAAGCAATCAGGTCCCACAAACGATATAAAAAATATGCTTTCAATCCCAAACAATGCTTTGTACACCATACAACAATATGGCTCACGTGTATGTTACATATGTATATATATTTATATTTATAAATAACACATCTCAACTTACATAAATCAGTGTCTGGTCAATATAAAATTTATAAAACATCAAATACTTTATCAATGTAAGAACAGCATAACTACAATCTTTGATAGTGTTAGAAATATAAATTCCTTGTTTTTAGCGTCGTTTCTGTATGATTCAGGTGCAGTAGTTTTCACAAAGAAAAAATTAACAAATTATTTTATAACAAAATATTGTTTTTGAAAAAATAACCATTTTAAAACATTAAATAGGAAACTGTGCATTATAATAATACACAAACCAGTCACTGACCAAGTTGAGAAAATTAATGCACTACTGATCTAAATTGTAAAATTGCTTACATTCTATTTAAAAGACAGAAAAATGTTCACACATACAAATTATTGCATTGATGGTTGCACAAGAAATTGCATTGATAATGTCACAAATGTGATTATGTGTGTGTTTTAAGGATCTCTAAAATATAGATAAGCTCAAGTTTTACAAAGGTCAGTGTTTTTACATGCAATTCTTTCAGCTGATTTTAGTGGTAACAAAATGTATACTTTTCTGCAAAAACTTTGGTTGATTTCTTGCAATAACTTGAAAGAGCAAATCCAATTTTCCATAGATATTAAAAATGGAACATATTCTTAATGTAATGTCACATGAAGTTGAAACTTCCAATTGCTTCACAAATAATGTTATCCTCCTCACTTCACACAATCACAACAGTACAAACAGCCAACCTTTGTGATTTATTGGCTGGTACAGACTAAGAAATATAAGTCTTCATAAATCAGTTTTTCTCTTGCTTTACTCTTAAAAATGTACACATTTCATGAGTAATTTTGGTAACAATTTATTCACTAAAAAATCTCTTAAAAGACCATAGGAATTTCATAAAACAATATTTGGAAAAAAACAACAAAAAAACAGCATCAGTATACACTGGTATGATATGACATTCAATGAAAATGATAGCAGCTTCAGTCATCATTTTCTTTATGTTTTTTTTTTTTTGTATTACAATAGATGAAATATGATGCACAAAACTGTACACTTATAATGAAAAAATAAAAAAGTTAATAAGAAAGTTGACAATTTTCATCGTAATAAATAATACACTAATCAACATAGATTTATTAACTGTGTACAAGCACCACAAGGTGAATCTTCACCAGAAATTATACAACAAGACTCTATATAACATTAAAAAAACAAAAAAAAGATGATTTGATACTATCCAGGAATATGCAAGTATATGAGAAGGTATTTCAGATATTTACATCATTATACTTCCAGGTTCGTTAGGAAAATAAGACGTTTTTCCTTAACAAAAAGGAAGAAAAACCCTTACATTCTGATTGTCATGACCTAATAGGGTTTTCTGATTATTTCTTCTGTTGCTTCTGAATATCTTTCCATTGCAAGAAGAGAGTTTTGATGTCTGACAGAGCTCGTTCAATCTGCTGTGAAAATCTATTGGAGTTCTGAAAATTGAGAAAGTCAGGAAAAATTAAGTTCAATTGAAAAATTGGAAATATCAGCAATACACACAAATATTTCTCAACTTTATTACTTTCCCTCCTTCCAAGTATATCATCTTAAATAAGTATAATATTTCAAAATATTGAGACCCTGAGCCTGTTAATGAATATTAAAACTTGTATAAATATATAAATGCAGTAATGAAATTGGATAATAATTTCTATACAAGCTTAAAGACTATTAATAATTTTCCTGAAAAAATTTTGGATTAATTTCAGCTCTTCAAATATATGCCTAACATCAGTAGAAATATAATTTTTATAACTTAACTGACTGCAGAGCATGTGACTGCCTAGAATACAATTATGGCACCTTATCTACGCATAATCCCCTCCCCCCCTTTTTTTTCCTTTTCTTTTTGCTCTCATTTTGGTGTGGTGCCTATATGTCTAAACTAAATATTAGCAAGATTTAGGGATTCTTCACACACTTCTAGTATCTGAGACAAGTGGTGAATATAGTCTCGAACTTTTTGTACTTTTAGGTCCTTGTTGCAAGAAAAGAAACTTGATATCCTAAAATTGAATCAGTTTCAATTTTAACTGAAAAATGTATATACTCAATTGTGTTACTCCACCTACAACTCTAGCTCTCACTTAGACACTTAGAAAAACAAATTGCAATGCAGCGGGCAGGTATCCCCCCCCCTCCCCCCCCGAACCATCACTCTAGAAACATTGTTGTCCTCTGCTGGAAAAGTATCAATTTCTTTTTACCAGGGATACAAGTACACCACATTAAGTATATCAGTTATGATACAAAATCTTTGAAATGCTCTAAAAAAGGAAATTGGACAAGCAATCATTCCAAAGAGTATTTGTAGGATTCAGTCAGAATGCATTGTATAATCTAAGGTGGTCTTCACACAAATTCTTCAATTCATTCTTTTTTAATGTTCTCTGTATAATCTTGCCAATTGGCACCCTGCATGGGCAAACAAATCCCAGACTATCATGTACAATGCAGGATACAGCAGATTTTAATGTTCTGAGCGGCTATGCTAAGGACTGCCAAGTGTTCAAAATTTAATAAAGGTCAACAACTTCTCATATACAGAGAACTGCAGTCTATTAGCAAGTTATTGTAGTGCAATTTAATTTAATTTCATCGCCAAAGCCAAAGCAAATGTGTGAAAATTGCTAGTGTTTTCACGTGTAAACTCTGCATCCTGACCATCTCACCACAGCGTAAAGGGACAACATGCAAATACTTCTATATATAAAAATCTGATTTATTTCCATTTACTATAGTGTTACTACTGTCCCCTTACACTGTGGTGGGATGGTCAGGCTTTCATTGGAAGTGCTTTGGACCGAAGAAAATTCAGAAGAAAATTAAATGTACTTGAAATTATATTTTGAAATTGACTATAATTTCGACTTGAAAATAATTATATTTTTTAATTAGCCATAGAACACAGCATGTTTCTTGAGAACTTGTAAGAGTTGTGATTTATTTGGTTCTTGTGTTATAAATCTTCATACTTACTGTTTCAGGTGAACTCTTCTTACTAGTTATATGAAAGAACAATAAATCTTCACCAGCGATGATGTAGGATACACCATATCCATCATCAGCAACAGGTCCAAAACCACCACCAGCAGAAATACATTTCGGATACTGCTTCAAATCCAATCGAGAAGTTTGACCATGAGGTGTTTGAGAGGTAGAAAGTCTCCACGGCTCGCTTAGAACTTCTTTAAGGAATGGTGAATCAACTTCCAGATATTTGGACACAACATACAGACAAAACAAATGTCGATCAATTCCTTTCCCACACATTGCATCCTGATAGCCCATCTGGTGAACTTGACAAGCCTTCTGGAATTTTTTAATGCGATCCTCCACCTAAAAAAAATTTTAGAATTTGCATTATATTAACTTCCCAATTCATCTTTAACAGTTCATAAATTCCAATTAAACTATTCAATGAAATATATAGAAAATTATCCTACTGAGCAGTTTTTATCACTCATCGATTTCACCCAGTCTGAAGACTCGATAGTACATGGCCTCACAGTTTCAGTTCTTCCTTCTCGGTACAAGCGAGTCATAGATGCTTCATATGTCAGGCTGAACCTCCCAGCATCCTGGAAGCATAAAAGTGAAATATTAAATAATCGTTTAGGATGGGTAACCTATTTCATTTATTAGTGTAGCCTTCTGCAGCTCGAATCATTAGCAGCTTGCTTGCCCCAGAGATGCTCTGTCCTAGGCTCAAGTGCCAATGTTTCAGCCCACATTCTGTGACCTTCCTCACATTTGGCCCTTTTGCAGTTGCATGTTATCAACATTAAACTGCAATCATGTCCACACATCTCTTGTGACCACAATTCCATTACTGAATTGAGGTCACAAGAGCAAGAATAACCTCACTGCAATGTTAATAGAGTGCAGTTAGGACATTTTCATATTCACACTTGTGGGCGCAATTAATCCATTAACGGCAAGAGAATAAATCAGTTCTTGAAAGTCCCAGTTCTAGTAATCATAACAATAATTTTTCAATCTATAGCCATTAAATTTGTTGTATCATCTTTTGGGAGTGGTCCTGTTGGGCTCTAAAATACGTTAAGCATTGTAAACAATATACATTAATTATTTAAACTGTCACTGAAGTGAAACAAACTATTGAGTGTGGTTGTGTGGTTGACCTTTTATGTATTCTACACAACAAGAAACCTAAAATATCCAGTAAGCCTCACACCTTTCATGCCATGAATGAATGGGAATGTGAACATTAATATTCTTCAGATTAGACATTAATTAATTACTGATCTTACCCTAAAATATGCCAACTGAAGAGCCATTTGGATAAACGCATCAGGACTAGTTCTGCAATCTTTCATAAATCCTTTTCCATATGCAGTATGCACCAAAATCCTCAAGTCCACATCATTTAGTAGATTCTGGGCCAGCTGTAAAATAATAGGTTGCAAAGTTGTCAATGGATTCAGTACGTTTTGATTGCCGAGCTCAGAAAATTTTCAACAGAACTTACTTTTACATCATATTTACATCACACACTAATTATTACCCATTTTACAACTTTATACTGTGCAAATAATCTTGAGAAATGAACAATGCAAAGGTAACCAAATTGAAAACAGCAACTAATATTACTATTACTATATCTATTACTACTATTACTACATCGAACCAATGAATACATTTAAGATTGCTAAAAAGCAAGGAAACAAAATAATTAATGCTAGCACTACATTCTTTCTACTACTGGCAATGAACATAAGTGAACTCGTGACTTACAGGAACCTGTGACCTACATAAAATGTAAACAAACCTGGCAGTAAAATCCCTTAGCATCTATAATCTTAACATAGCACAGCAAAAGTTGTGATCATGGTAACACTGATAACAGCTTTATATAGCACTGAATTAATTAGCTCCCACACTCATAAATTAACAATTTCCTTAAAATTCCTTTCATTCATTTACACAAAATATAATAAGAGAAAATATTTAAAGAACATTTCAATTAACACAATGGTTTACTTTTTGTTATTGTAATATTGATATTTTATATTCAGCTCAACAAAAAACACATCTTCACATTTTTTTAGCATTAAGGATTTCATAATAGTTTAATCAAAATGAGGCTTTCAGCAAAGCACATCCGTTTGTAATAAGGACATTTTCAAGAAAAAAAATTCTAAGTTTTGAGTTAATTCGGTTTTAACTTTTTTGAAAATGCACCCTTACATTCAAAATTCTTTGGGATTTCAAATAAAACAAACAAACAAACAAACATTTTTAAGGACTAATTTTATTTGTTTTTCAAAAGAAACAACATCTTTCCGTACCAAGGACCTATTAAATGCGTTTCATTTTAAAAAAATCAGTGCTTTTCCTACAGGAGTCTCACAGCTCTCTCTACTTCATCAACTTTTAGGTACATAATGTGCCCTATGTACCCAAGATTAACAAAGGACTTGTAATGGTGTTTAAAAGCAAGTATATAATGTAGATATAATGTTTACAATATAAGTACTGTCTATCTGAAATTTTTGATCGCCATCAGATATTTAATTTAGGTAGTGAATTCAAAACCTGGAATACAAAGGAAGGGGAATCATGGAGTACACCTGTGATGCAGCATTGTTGGAACACTGCTGAGATACTGGTATACTCGTCATTTAACGAACTGCATTAATGCACAAGCAATGAATGGCTACCAACCTGGCAAGAATTTTCAATTGTAGTGAGACATTCAGCTGGCAAGTCCCACTGGAGACGAATTGGAGCAGGAGGAGTGAATCCAGGGGTCCCAAGTGTATGGCCAGTTTCATCATACCTGTTGTAAATAGATAGTCAAAGTATGTTTTCAATGGGCCATGGTTAGTATACGAAAAGCTCATAATTAAAGTATTGTATAAAAGTTTCCGTGCATTATTAAGAAAAAAATGGTAACAAAATTTTCAATTTAAGAATAGTTCAATAGACACAGCAGAATGTGCAGTTTATAAAGTTAGTTAAGATCAAGATAATGAAAAAAATAAGAAGATGCACAAATTATTGTTGAATGAAGTTCATTTAAATAATTTATAGACTTTTCTGTTTGACAAAAGAATCTTACAATAGAAAAAATACACATTAAATATAAAAACAATAAATTATAAAAAAACTTAATTGCAAAGTATTGTGACAAATTAGTAATAACAGAAAATAAATTTCCTTGAACTATTTTATTCAAGAAATCTTGATAAATACTACTTAACTAACAGGTTGCTAAATTTTTTAAAACATTCATTGCTCATAGAATATTATAGGGATGACTGCTTTTTACAATTTGCCAAGGGTGTAGCAGCCAAGCAGGTTTAAAAATAAAAGCATAAATATTACAGCAAAAGGTTGCCTATTCAAATTTGGGTCTGTATTACATTCTTTCTCCACAAAATTTAAGATTATAGTCTCTAATAAATTATTTTATACTTATTAGCAAACCATTAACTACAAAAGAATAAGCCTTGCACAAAGGAAAGTGATTGGTAGATTATCAATTTGGCAGAACGTGCAAATGTCCATGGGAACTTTATATTTTCATAATCATATTTTTTATTGTCAAAGTGTTAATCTTTCTCAAATTGTGATTTTTTTTTTTCAATTCTATAAAGGCAGGGAATAACACGAATTGATTCCAGAAGTTTTATTAGAAAGACGTGGAAAGAAATGGTCTGCCAGAATTTGGTTACAGAAGCACAAAGAATTATGAAAACTTAATATTAGTTTGTTAGTAAAAGAGAGACCATACCCCATCTCAAGTTCCGTGCCAAAATTGAACTCCCACATGTGCCCCATGACTGGTGCATCAGCCCTGGCAACCAAGGAAACCACAACCTCTTTACACAAAAGTAAATAAAGAAACAAATCAGAGAAAGCATGAAATAAGTTGCAGAACTTAACAGTGCATTTGAATAATTGGGAGCATTTGAGTGATCACCAAGGGTGGAAGAAAACTGAAAGAAACAATATAAATTGATTAAAACAATTAATAAACATAAAATAAAAAAATAAAAAAACTTTGAGGTAAAATGAAATCTTCAAATATTACAAAAACTTTTTAAAAATAAATATGATATATTATCTTACTAAAGGTACTATACATGAAAATAGTGAATATAACTTCAATAAAAGCAAGCTGAAAAAGTGCCTATTAATTTAGTGAATTGAATTTCACCATATCTTTGGAAATCTACTAATCTATCACTCTGGTTCATCATATATGTATTACTACTTCATTAAAATTAAAATAAAATCATCTTCTCTTAAATTACATAATTGCTGAAAGAAAAGGGAAGCAGTTATGTACATATATTAGACAGGTGTGTCAAATACCCAAAATGAAACTATGTACAAAAAAATGTATTAAAAAAAAAAAAATGACTGAATGGTATCTACTGTCTGACTTAGACATGTCCTGTCCTAGGCACAGATGTTACGGAATGGCTGCAACCATTCTCAGGGTGAAATGCTAGTGGAAATGCATTTTTCCCCGAGGAAGATTGCAGCATGATCAAAATGTTGGCATCTGTTTTCTAAGAAGAAGCAATCCTAGACAGCCATGTAGTTACCTACACTGGCAGCAGAAGCATTTAAGTTCTGAATACTTCAGACAACAAATTACAAGAAAACTTTTCAGTAGTATAAATTTTCTTCGAAAAAATTTACAACATATTGAAAATTTTGAATCTGCAATTACTGTATCTTGCAAACACTGCTTGGTTTACAAAAGTAATAAAATTGCAATTTTTTAAATATAAGACAATTTAAAAAAAAAAAAAAAAAGTATATCTTCACCTAATTTCAGTTCAAGTCATTTTCTGAAATTTTAAGCAATCATTAAAAAGAATCTCTCATCAAGGTAACTCGAAGGTGAAGCAAAACTCAAAAAGAGCAAAAATTTATTTGAGAGTTAATGAAACAATATTCCAAGTTCTTTAATACTGGTGCCTATGTGGCACCTGCTGTGCATCTGCTCAAATTGATAATACTAAAACAATTTTTATGATTCATATAACTACGTGAAATGTATTTGACTTTCCTGTCATAGATCACAAAGAAAAAAAGCTGAGGACTGAGAGCAGAAGAAGAGAACTGAAAGAAAAGAAATGCAAGCCAAGAGGCAGTGAAGAGTTTGACATTTTTTTACCATAATTTCAATCCAGCAGCTTCCTCAACAATGACGAATTCCCACAGATGTGACATAATTGCAGCATCTGCCCTGAAAAATGCATTTCTACATTACTATCGTTCAATGGCAAAGCATGTCCACAGACTGACAGAAGACGAAAACTAATAATACACATGGCTTCGCATCACATCGCAAAAGTGGAAATCTATGGAAAAACAAAGAAACAAAAACAAAATTGAATCAAGTACAAAAAAAAACAACAGGAAAGGGGACCTTCCAATGACAATCAAATGAAATACTTGCAACAGTCAAGCACAAGCACAGAAACTTTCAAGGATCCCTGTGGTATGCTACATGAACAATGCATTGCAATAACACCACAAGTATGCGTACACTCTCACGCTTGCAAATGCACAAACAAAAAACAAAAACTTAGTTAACAATGATAGAGCTTCATATTAGGATGTAAGACTGAGCCTCTCAGTTAACAAATAACAAACATTGTTTTTATTACTAAGTGAGGTTTTTGAAACCATCATTATTATTCATAATTTTTTGTGGGCAGTAAAATGTTTGTCCAATGTCATTACTGCCTGGAAATGGCCTGAATATAAAGGTGTGAGCATTTCATTCAGTTTACTTCAACATCATCTATTTGCGTGTATGAGCAAGCCAGAGAGTCAATGAGAATTTGCTTTATATGAGCATACTGAACACCCAGTTCGTAAATTATCCTTTTACAGTACAAGGAGTCAGAAATCTTTTTTAGCTGTTTAAATTTGACATGTGGTATATTAACATTATTTTATCAAGTTTTGTTCAAATTTGTATTTAATTAATGTGTATCTACCTGGTTTAAAGCTTATCCACACAAAAAATATTAAGCTACACTACTGTTTGTAAAATAAAATTCTCTCAGTCAATCAATTATAAACATAATTAGTTTGTTTGAATAGTTTGTACATGTTACTTTTTAACTATTAATTTAGCACAAGTCATAATTACTCTTTCTAAAAGGTTCTAATTTTTACTGAAAGTAGTTTATCTGTAGCTGTGTAATAAATGGCAACAAATATAGCATACAACTACAAATTAACACTTCTCAAGACTAGAAATGTGAAAGAAAAATGCTTCAGAGATCTTACCACGAATGTTCTGCATTGAATCCAATCTGAAAATGAATAAAAAAAATATGGTGAGCACTAAACGTAAATTTCTATCAATAAGAAAACCACAGTAAAATAAATACATTTTGCAATAATGAAATTAAAATAAATAGTACTTACTCTTCCATTAGTTCCAATGCATAAAGTAAACGATTTATCAAACCATCTATCGTATCCCTTTCCATGGAGAAGAATTCGACCATAATTGTCCATTTTACTTGGATCTTTCTGAAAACACATTTAAAACAGAAATACACACATGTTCAGTACTAATTGACTAATTCATTTTCTAAAGATAGAAGACTACATAAAAGTTTTAAAATCTGTAATATTTTTTACCCATCACATTAGTACCCAATCTCATTAAGTTGCAAATTGAAAACGAGAAGCAATATTCATCCACTGAAATTTAAAACTAAACGAAATTTCTAGAAAGAGTTATACATCTACAATGTGTTTCCCCCTAATGATATGAAATTACAAGGAAGAAAATATATTTACCTCATCATATTCATAAGGAACATCATCCAAAGCTACAACAAAAGCAGCTTTCTCGACAGCATCCAGAGACTGTCTATTAGTTCCCTTGAAGAAAAACTTCTTTCTCGTTTCAGCCCATGTGCTTCGCTCACTGGCTGTCAGAGCAGCTAACTTTTCTTCTCCTTTTGCAGGAATGCTATCGTCATCTAAAATCTGTTGGATTTGACTAAACAAAGGGAAAACAACTTAAAAATAGAGTACCTATTATAAACAACTTGTGTAATAAAATATTCTGATTTTCTTTACTTACACTTCAATTTCACATGGTTTTAATATTCTTCCTTTGTAGTAAATAATTACTTTATAGTAACGACCACGATGATACACAGCAATATGATTTGAGTCATTATAATGTACAATACGATCGGTTTCAAGTCCTGGGACTCTAGTTGTATTAAATACCCTTTCATACTGCCATGAGCACAAAGGCACTAATCCTTGAATAAGAATCTGCAAAAAAATTTAAAAATTCTTACACCCAGATTTTGATTATTGATAAATAAAGTAATGAAAAGTATAGGTACTATTTCCATTATTTATTTACAAAATGATTCTTTGACGCATGATTATTTTACAAATGTTTTTCTTTTTTATTAATTAATAACTTGAATACAGGAATTGATTTGGAAAACAGTCTTTGATGATAACATAAAATATAGCCAATTTTGAATAAATTAATATTCTGTAGCTGAAGAGTAGAACTCTAATGATGAGAATAGAGGACTTAAATGATGAGAAAACTAAGGACAATTGAGATAATAAAACATAACAAAGTAAAGGTAACAAACATACTGGCTCCAATTCTTGTCGCTCTATGAGTCTGCGATATTGCAAGCAGCAGAAAATTATAGAAGCAGCACGAGCTGCTTGCACGTGAGTTGGATGCATAAGAATTGCATCAATACCATAGAAATTCGAGTTCACCATCAGAGGAGAACGACCTCTGAGATAAACGTATTCTTCCCACCAATCAGAAACATAATTTGTAGACCACCTAAAAACAGTATTATCCAGAAATATTAATGATTTATGCAGTTCAATATTGCCATTAGAGGCTTTAATTTACTAAAGATATAATGTCTAAGGAAAATCTACATTTACTCACCATGACTTGAGAAGGAGGTACCACTGTAATTTCTTAGCAATTCCTTTTTCAAAGTCAGCAGCCAACTTCTCCATTCTTGAATAATCTTCATCATTGAGAAGAGGTCTCACACTACGTAGATACTGAAATTTAAGACTTTGAATGCAATTATTATATTACGTACTTGTAAGAAGAATGGAATAAAGTAAATTTTCAAAGTATTAAAAAAGATATTTAAATTTTTAATAAAATTTCAAGAGTAATTATGGTATAAAAGGGTAAAAGAAGATTTTATTGACAAGTACAACAGTGTGGTGACACTAGATGCTACAGATATCATACAAAACACAGAATAAAACACATACAAAACAATGAATTAAGTATTCCCTTCAAATGCACATGAAATGTTTAAATATTTAATTGAAATTTTCTCACTTTTGTTTACAATATCTAAAGGATAGAAAAATGTATAACATTCAAGAGTTAAGATAAGTTTTTCCCTTTGAGAGTATTAGCCTGAGACAATAACTTCTGAGTAAGGAAGGAAATTGTATTTAGATGTAGGTAACACCAAAATTAATGTTACAATACACAATCTTCTCCCTCATACGTCACATGCAGTTTTACTGTCTTTTTTTTTTCTTTTCTTTTCTTTTCTTTTTCTTTTTCTAAATAAATTGAAATTGAAATCATCAAAAAAAAAAAAATATTTACCTTCAAATGAGGCAGGGAGACCATTGGATTAAAGAAAAGTGCAGAGGGCATGAAATACCATTCAAATTGGAAGTCAGATCAGTGATCTAGTACAGTATTTGTTCAACTTCCTTAGAATCATTGGAATTTTTATGGCAAAAAATGAATTGTAATTAATTATATTCAAATCCAAAAATTACTGTCATTTTTGTGCGATGCTTACCCTCTTCATGGTGTCCTGAACAGCAGGCAAAGGAAGGCGAGGCAAGGAGCCTTGGAAACTGTACAGAAGAGGCTTGCTGCCTGCAGAAAAGAGTTTCACCATCACAAGCCAAAGCTTGGTTTGCCAGGAAATGCGGCTTCCACGGCCACGCTGTTCATACATCCATCCTTTGTACATGAACAGCATTTTAAGTGTGTAACGGACGGAAAAAGTAATGGACAACCAAGTCCCTACTCCTAATAATGCACAACCAGCACATTGCCAACCTAAAGTATTCCTGAAAAACAAATTAAGGAAATAAATAAATAAATAAATAAATAATGCTTTCAACTCATAACTAATTAATTATACTTTATCAATAGCTTCAAAATTTGATGGCAGAGTGCTCAGGATTTTTCCATATTCCTACATTTGGACAAAAATTCTGTAATTTAAAAATGGTGAATGATATATTTAATTCATATTTATCCACTTACTCTGGTAAATGTACAACAATCCTATTAACACAATTTGCTACTGTCTTCTGGCCTGAGAAGTTCATTCCTGTAATAATTGCAACAATGCCCCATAAACTCTGCAGAGGTGCTGGGTATACTCCATTCTTAATACTGTTCTGTGAACACGAGATTGCAACTATGTTAGTGAAACTATAAAAAAAGGACATATACATAAATTAATATAGAAGAAACAATCAATCAACAAGATCAACTAGATTATCAGAATTAACACAAGATAAAATAGTCTAATGGGATAAAATGAGATATCTTTAGTTAACTTTCAACACCGGGGATAGCTAAATGTTGACTGAGTAAGCAAGTCAGCATGAAAAACCCAAAATGAAAAATACGTAGAGGGTCAGTGAAAAGCCCAACATCAAGTCGACTAGCCTGTTCAATGCATGGATTGTGACTGAGAAGATGTGATGGTGATAAGGGTGTCTAAGGAGATGTGGCAGGGATGGTGAAGATGAGCCAGATGTGGTGGTGATGGTGATGGTGAGGATGAGCCAGATGTGGTGGTAATGGTGGTGATGAGGGTAAGCCAGATGTGGTGGCGATGGTGAGGGTGAGCCAGATGTAGCCGTGATGGTGAGGGCGAGACAGATGTGGCCGTGATGGTGAGGGTGAGACAGATGTGGCCGTGATGGTGAAGGCGAGACAGATGTGGCCGTGATGGTGAGGGCGAGACAGATGTGGCCGTGATGGTGAGGGCGAGACAGATGTGGCCGTGATGATAAGGGTGAGACAGATGTGGCCGTGATGATAAGGATGAGACAGATGTAAGTTGTGAGGGTGACGGTGACGGTGAGGGTGACGGTGAGGGTGATGGTGAGGGTGATGGTGAGGGTAACGGTGAGGGTGATGGTGAGGGTAACGGTGAGGGTGAGGGTGACGGTGAGGGTGACGGTGATGGTGAGGGTGACGGTGAGGGTGACGGTGACGGTGACGGTGAGGGTGATGGTGACGGTGAGGGTGACGGTGATGATGAGGGTGACGGTGACGGTGAGGGTGAAGGTGATGGTGAGGGTGAAGGTGATGGTGAGGGTGAAGGTGATGGTGAGGGTGACGGTGATGATGAGGGTGACGGTGATGATGAGGGTGACGGTGATGATGAGGGTGATGGTGATGATGAGGGTGACGGTGACGGTGATGGTGACGGTGAGGGTGACGGTGATGGTGAGGGTGACGGTGAGGGTGACGGTGATGGTGACGGTGATGGTGAGGGTGACGGTGAGGGTGACGGTGAGGGTGACGGTGAGGGTGACGGTGATGGTGAGGGTGACGGTGATGGTGAGGGTGACGGTGATGGTGAGGGTGACGGTGATGGTGAGGGTGATGGTGGGACGTGTCTGATGGTGAGGGCGTGGGAGATGTGCCAGTGGCGGCGTCGACGAGGGTGAGGGAGGTGGAGCCGTTGCGCGGAGCGGGGAATGGAGGCGACGGCCAGTGCCGGGGGCGAGTACCTTGAAGCGCGCCAGCCGCTTCTTCCACGATCGGATGCCCGACTGCCAGACGAGGTGCAGCACCTCCCGGTCGAAGTTGACGTCCCATCCCTCGTGGGTGATGGCGAAGGAGAAGGCGACGGCCGAGTGGGCTTCCGCCATGGCGTCGCGCGCACCTCAGCTGCCGCTGCGCGCCTCCTGCGGCAACACACGCACACCCACCCTTCACTTCATTTGATACTGATCCGGTTCATTCATTTATAATTAAGACTAGAGTGGAAACAAAGTTAAAAACTACGCGAAATACTAGGAAAAACACAAAGGCGTTGGGCTCAGCTCGGGCGAGAGAGAATCTGCTTGATGAAGGTAGCAAAAAACAATGTTCCGTTTGGAATAAACAAATACTCTGAGAGTGCTACCAGCAATTTCATTTTTTAGCTTAAAAAAATTGATTGTGGGAATTTTACATTCACATAACAACGGACCCAAAAACATCGATGTTAGAAAAACGCCAGCTTTAAATTATCCGTGTTCAAAATCTTCGATGTTTTGAAAACTGACATCAATGTAGCCACGGCGCTCTTTGGCGCTCCTCGATTTATGAACGTTCCAGAGATGATTTTGCCACACTTGTTAAGCTACTCACTGCGTGGTACAGTCGTGCATGGGCGTCACCACAGGGGAGGCCCACGCACGACCAGGCGCAACGCGTCACCACACGCGTTCTCCCCCTCCAATTTTTGGTAAATGAGGTACATTGGACCCCGGTATTCTACAGAATTGTCCCTCTCCCAATAATTCGGCGCTGGTAACGACCATGCCGAATCATCAAGAAATATGAACAACACAAGGCAATGAAAATTCTTTGCTTGCTCAGCACATCAAATTTATAAGTTCGCTCCAGTTAAATATATTATTTGTAATGAAATTTCCAGATGACTTAAATATTAAATGTGTCTGGGCGAAAACGACGTTACTCAGCTTTTCTCTTCCGGCAAATCACGCGTTTAAGTGGAGGGGTGGCGAGGATATTTTTGGTTTAAAATTCTCTGACACCTCTCTGATTATTTATGGCGTGTAGCCAGGCAATAGCATTCTTTGATTAAAAAAGCTGTGGATTGGTATATCTTTGTTTGTTTGTTTTTTGGTATAAAACAAATTTCGTTTATTTCAATAACATTCACACGTTTGTACATCGCTGAGGTAGTGCGTAGGTATTGAAGATTCAAGTCGCAGGGGCGGGAGCGGAGGTTCGCCTACATCAGTCCCAAATGTAATAGTTTAATACGTTCGTTGAATTAATGTCGCAATCGTCGAATTCTAATTTACGTGCATACGTGGCTGCTTTGGTAAAACAACACAGTCTTAGAAGAACTCTCTCCCTGCCCTACCTGGGCCCTCCACAGAATAAACGATAACGGGAGCTGCAAGTCTTGACTTTCTTTCACATACTTCTTTTCCCCTCCATGTCTATCGCAACGAAAAATCAATGTGACAAACGCTGCAAGTTTCCTCAGAACTTGCAACTCGATACAAGAATAATCATTAGGTTGTATATTAATATTTATAATTTCTTTAATCGAACTATAAAGATCCCAATGATCTTTGTAATGATTCAAAGAGTTTTCTTCATCTATTGATGCAACTTTGATATTTTGGATATATTTTAAAATACAGGTTATCGATATGATTTATCCCAAATTAGCCTACAAGATCTCAAAATGACGAAATATTGAGAACCCAGACAATACTTATACCAACAAAATTACTCTATATTAAAACCACAAAGACGTCATAAGAAGGGAGGCTTAAATTGTTACGAGAGACTGACACACGCCACGAGATGGTCCTATTATAGTCCCATTGAAGCGCTGAATGCAAAGTGAACATATGCGGAACGATTCTGCGTTGCTCTATCTTCTTTGCTACATTGAATGGCATTTTGTTGTTTGTATTATTCATTGCAGTATCGTTCTGCTCCTAGACACTTTGTATTCAGTATACAAATCGGTCATTGAAAGAAGTAGATCGCGACTTATTTAATTATAGAAGAAAACAATAACACGTAAACAATGTATAAAACAACGCGTAAATAATCTAGCCAACGTAATCCACATAGTGACTGAAGTGGACAGCTACCTCGCGATTACTTTGCGCGAATTTTTTTTTGAGATTTCTACCTCACCCTCTTTTATCGTGCGTAGTTCGATATTGAATAAAGTGCACCAGCGAACGCTCTTGACATTAATAAAAATGTTCACTACCGCGTAATAGAAACTTTGTATCTACAAAAGAGCAACAGTTTCATTTGAGAGTACTTCTGACGAAATTGCCAAAGCTTCTCTCGTCTCCCACCTAATGAAATGAGACCTGAAGAAAACGTTCCCGGATAGTACACTCATGCAACCACGAGCTGTACTGTGCCAGTGTAGTTCCGTGTAATTATTTTCACCCTCCGACTATTATCATTATTGTGTCAGAGATGAGTGTTAGAGCTTTACGCTATATTTCGTCCAGAGTAGTTATGCTACCTACATGTAATATTCAACCCACAACCCTTCCAATGACCAGATCTGTTCGTTCTGCCCCTCATCTGCCTCGTATTGTATTATTCGTTAGTGTTATTTATAAAACTAAAGTTTGTACAGGAAAACTAATGCTACAGATGCAACAGTTTTCTGACGAACGCTTGTACTAGTTACAAATGCACAGAGTGCACTATGATCCCCCCTTCTAAGATATTCACAAAATATAGTTTGCACTAATTTTCCTTAGTAACGAAAATCATTCAATATTTCAACTGAATATGTTATAAGTAACTAAATTTACAAACAAAATAAATTAATCAGAAATGAAAATTCTTTACAAGAAAACTAAATCGGCCGAATACTATAGCTCGTAGAAAAATTCACATTGCGCCACTGCAAGAGAAACATTAATTTAAAGCACGAAAGCGTGTGAATACAGTTCAACAACATAAATACAAAACGTTTAGCATTCTCACAAAGCTAAAAGTATATAATTCGCCGGGTGGGTTGCGCAGAACATGCGTAAACAAACATTACACATACATTTTATTCCACTTGTTTGTTTACGGAAATACAATTATAATTAATTACCTCTGTTTAATAAGTTCATCAGTGCCTCCCAACCTTTCAGACGCCGCGTTTCCTTGAGAAAGAACAGTTGACATCGTTATGAAGAATAGACAAACGTGCGAATCATTCTATTAATTGTCTAAACATCAACAACTTATCAGCATTTCCACAATTCATCGCAGAACTCACGACCTTATTTCTTGAAAGAATCCGTTACTTCCGTAGAAGGTGGGTAATCCGGATTAATCGAGACCGGACCCCTTCCGGATTGTGCAATTTTCCGAATTATCGATACCAATAAAATCTAGTAGACGTCTTCAATGTAAAACAAGAAGAAAAAAAATCCTAAGATCGTTTATAATTCACTCTGAGGGTTACGTAGTACAGTATCAAAAATGGTTCGGCGACGGTCCAGGTATTTTCCAAACGAATTATTGACACGGTTATAAAAATTTCACCCATCGGGCTGTACTTTACACTTCTTTTGCATAAGTAAGGGTTTTGTATCTTGTTCATCAGTCTTGTTGGTTACATGCAACGCAACACTGACCGACAGGGAGTAACTGCGTTCTTCCGCTGACACCATTTTTTTGGTCAACCTTTGACACAGACGATTTCCCTGACACGACAGGGAAGTGGCAACAATGAAGGAGGTGGACAGCAAAGAAAGAAGTCTATGAGAAGCAATTCCAATTTTACAATACCTTGTTCAGTATACTCTGCTGTATTTCATGAATACTATCACGCGTTACTAACACATGCAATGCATTTTAAGAGTGGCGTTTTGCATTTCGACCTTCTGATGAAGTATCGTTGATTCGTAAGCGTCGAATAAGGAAATGGTACACGTATTGTCTTTATGATCTTTGTTATTTGGATGAAATTCAATTGCAAAACGTAGTCGCTCATTTTGTCTTTTAAACAAGAGAAACATATGACAAAGATTGGTTAGGCTATCGATATCAACCAATCGACTGATTGATAATTCAGGGCGCGTGAACAGCTAAGGTCATTTATAGCGGTAGGTGTAATGCTTGTTTTTATAGCGGGAGGTAGCGGCGATTTTCCCCCCTGGATGTCGAGATATGGCGCCGGCTTACCTGACGGCAAGCGGAGTTTTCCCCAACCAGATAGCTCCCACATCGGGGCACCGCCCCCAACAGGGACAAGCTCTAAGCTCACGACTGGCCTTCAGGCACGTGCGGTAAGTGCATACAAATGTAAGTGCGTATAAGTTAAAGGTGAGGCAAGGAAGAGGAAGGAAAAATCGCGCTCGGTCTGTGGCCCTTATGTTAAGAGTTCTGCTCCGGCATTCGCCTGGTGGGGATCGAAGAAACCACGTCCCACTACCGGCCAGAGCATTCAGATTTTTCTCACCTATGTGCCTTTTCTTCAGGCAAAAGTAGTGCTCACTCTGATTGTTAGATGCAACCAACATCAACTATTTCCGACTTCAATTATCATACATTTTAATATTGCACACTAAGAACATTTTAAAATTATAAAATGTTTTTACTGTCATATAATTAATGTTTACTTATTGTAAAAGGGGAATGTTGACTCAAGAATAACAATTATTTTAGGAGGATTTACAGGATTTAACACTCTTAGATAGGATAATTATTTTCCCTGAATTAGTTAAGTGAACTTCTTTGATTTGGCTCATCTTTTGTGTATGTACTGAAAAATTAAAATATATTAACAAATTTCTCGGGCCAAAGACCCTCGGACTTTTTGTTGTCACTCGATCGTTAGAACCCTTATTAACGCCCTCGGTGCAAAAATAACTATTGTCGTGGTGCATCGCATTTATGTTATTCCTAAACGTTTCATCAACTAGCATATTTCCCACATTTTCAGATTATTCAAAGTGACAAGACGAGACATTTCAAAACCACATGTACGCATTTTTAAGCACGCCTGATATTTTTTACTTATTTTTAAACAAGTTAAATATTTTTACTTAATTTTAAGCACGTGAGATATTTTTACTTATTTTTAAGGGTGTATGATACTCTGCACCTTCCAATAAAATTAATAGTAATTTACGATCGTCGTATATCATGTTTTATAAGACTAAGGATTATTGAAAGTAAACCC